GTATTTTCCATTCAAGGAAGTTCAGAAGTGTACAAAACTAAACCAGCGCAGTAGAGTTCTCTGAGGTGAGTGATGAGGCAGGGGCGTGGAAAGGCTCAGCTCCTCTCCCTCGGCTGTGTGTTCACTGTGCAAAAACTCACCGAACTGCACACTTCCAATTTTGTGCCTTTATAAGTGCCATTCAATGGAAGCTTACTGCAAAAAGAAATCATTTATAATAGGAAAAAAATGGTATACTTAGGAATCAACTTAAAATACTAGCATTTCCCCAGGTGCAGAAACATTAAGCTTCATGAGGTGGGAAGACACACGAATAAGTGGGTAGCTTGGGTTCCAGAAGAGGAAGCCACCAGTATCATAAAAATATGCCTCTCACATTAATCTATATGCTCAGTGCAGTTGCTTTCACAATAGTATGCTTTATTCATAGATGCTGGCAAAATTATTCTCAAGTTTATATGAGAAAAAGAAAAATCCAAGCATAAAGCAAGGCACTGTTAAAGGATGAGGTGTGGATGTGGGATCGTTAATACAACTTTAAATACAAATGGTAAAGGCTGGACATCTCTGCCTGATTCCCGATGCTAGGGCAGGGCTGGGATGTGCGGAGCACAGCCACTGAGCTGTTGAGATCACGCTGAACACGTGTGTACCCTAGAAGACAGCAATTCCCTTCTAGGTAGGTAGATTATAGAAACTCTGAGCCATGGGCCAGGGGTTTAGCTCAGTGGTTCTGCAGCCTGCTCCACAAGGGTAAGGACCCAAGTTCAATTCTCCATATCAAAGAAAGCTCTTAGCTATATATGTAAGAATGTTTGTAACAGAGGAGAGGGGAGTCAAATTCTTATTAAGAGGAAAAGGAAAACGGATCCATAAATTCATACAGTGGAATATGACATGAAGTGAAAACACCAATGCATTGCAATGACTCTCAGCCACGCAGATGAATCTTAAAATAATCTTGAGCAAAATATGCAAAGAGACATAAAGCCAACACAGTGTAATGTGATTTCATGAAACTCAATACCATGCTGATGTAAAAATATATTCTATAGGCACAAACACAGACACACACGCACACACACTTTTTTTTGAGACAGGGTCTCACTGTGTAGGTCAGGCTGACCTTGAACTCACTATGTAGACCAGGCTGCCTTTCAACTTGAGTTGATCCTTCTGCCTCAGCCTCCCAAGTGCTGGGATTACAGCCATGTGTCACCATGCCTGGCAAGTGCAGTAAAATATTAAAGAAAAAAAGTAAAGGAAGGATAAGCAGAGAAGTCAAGGCTATGGTTACCAAGAGATAGCAGGAGATGGGGAGGTAAAAGTTTAGAGAACAGAAGCAGGTACAAGTTTCTGGTAAATTCTTACCTCATGAGTGGATAGGCAGATTCAAGGAGTTATTTACACTATTTTTGTTTTAAACTTACATATTCTCTTGTTTATGTGCAAATTTTAAATTAAAAATAGCAAACTAAGCTGAGCATAAAATTGTAATCCCAGCACATAGGAGGCTGAGTCAGGAGGATCACCATGAGCTCAAGGCCAGTTTGGATCACATAGTCAACTGGAATTGCATTGCAAGACCCTGTCTCAAAAAACAACCGGGAAAAAAAATAGCAGACTAACTGTTAATGTGCCATACATACTGTTCTTAATTATCAACCACAATGTTGTTCCAAATCAAGTTCAAACAATGACCAAGCTTGAAGCAATAGTGAGAAACCTAGCGCAGGGTCCAGCAGATACCATCAGCAGGAAACACACAGGCACACTTGTGAGTAGATGCCTGGCTTCTGGTGCACATGCCGAGCATTTGGCAAAAGTAGGTGTGGAAGTGGGGCGAGGGTGATTATTTATGTAGTCACTGCTTGAGCTACGTGCTAAGTCTAGTGACACAAGGCCCTGGGCCTGTTAGTAACGCTGGACAGCTGGGCCACAGACCACAGACGCCCAGAACTCTTGCCTACTCCCTGAGAGTAAATTGGGACAGGTCCAAGAAGGGGACTGCCAAGGAAACCTTGGGTGATTCTCTTGTTGGTGTGGCCCTGAGGCTCTGACCCATGGTTCACACACAGCAACGGCCCCAGCAGGGCAGGGGGAACCCTGAAAATTCTTCTCCCAAGAGGGGCAAGGGTAGCCTCGTGCCCAGCAGACTTTGATTACAAATCCTGTTCAGGTGCTGACCACTGCTGGCCGAGTCAACAAAGCTGCCAGGAGCACACTGAGTCCTCCTTTCACTCCGGCTTGGCGGTGGCTTCACACGGTCTCCCTCCTGGTCCTCTCCAAGGAGCTCCTCCATCTATCGTGGGGGAGTGCGCCACTGACCCTGAGGGGAAAATGTAAAGCCATGCTGAAAAATTCAGTTTCAAGATCAATAATATTTATATTTCCATTATTTTAAAATATTTCAGTATTATTACCAGTGTTGGACGTGGTGGCGCACACCTGTAATCCCAGCACTCAGGAGGCTGAGGCAGGAGGACCACCAAGAGTTTGAGGCCTGGGCTACATAGTGAGTTCAAGGCCAGCCTGGACTACATATGGAGATCCTGTCTCAAAACAAAATGTGGGCCTGGGATTTAGCTCAGTGGCTCCGCCACCTGCAAGGTCCCAAGTTCAATCCCCGATACCAAAATATATATATAAACTACAAGAAAAATCCACAATGAACAAAGTATCCAAACTAAATAAAAACATGATCCAGCCATGCACTTTTATGACCCTGCTTCGTGAATGCTGGCTTTGGTGCCAATAAAACTTGGCTCACAGAAGCAGTGGTCAAACACCCCTTCCCAGCTACTGCCCATGACTTGCCAATATAAATTATTTCAAATTATATGAGAGAAAGAGAGAGAAATTGTGATAAAATAAGCAAACCACAAATTTGCCGTTTCATTTTGTGTACAGTTCAGTGCCATTAAGTACATTCACAAGTGTGCAATGATATAATTCTCTTAAATATTACATTAAACTATTACACATTGTGATTACCAACTTTTGGGTGATACCGTAAACTTTACACCCGAAGCAAGTGTCTCACTAGCTTTTTATTTATTTATTTTGGTACCGGGGATTGAACTCGGGTCCTTGCTCTTGCGAGGCAGGCGGCGGAACCACTGAGCTAAATCCCCGGCCCCTTCACTAGCTTTATTTAGACCCCCGCCCTGCTTCCCCCTCTTCGGAGATGCAAGATTTCTCCCACGTAAATGCCTCAGAAGAGTTACTTATTCCAGCGGCGATCAGTTCACCGAGGATGTCCCTTCAGCCACCTGCAACGGAAAGCCCCACCTGCGCTCGCCTCTCCCGCGACGGGACACACCCAGCGGACACGCCCTCTACCTGCTCAGGGCCACCTGGTGGGCGAGCGCCCCGCCTGGCCCGCTCCACTCGCTTCTTGCCCGACCTTCGCGTCGGCCAATGAGAAGGGACCTCCGGCTCCGGCCTCGAGGAGCGGCCAATGGGAGCGCGGCATGCAAATGAGCAGGTGCGGTGGCGGCTGTCCCGTTGCGGATGCCCCCGCTCCGGAGATGTTAGAAGCGCGCCTGGAGGCCGCGG